GTGGTGGATCACACACACACACACACACACACACACACACAGAGATACACACACACACACATGACAAAGATGGCTTAAAAGCATCTCTCAAAAGTAGAGGGGTAGAACTGACACCTGCTTGTCATTTCCACCCTCAGAGCACACTGTTAGCTTAATGGTTAGCTTTAGTACTTAGCCTTAGCCTCTAACTCACCACTTTAAAGAATACTTTAGAACTTTGCATAATGTTGGTGATAAAGTGAAACTAAATGCACTATGCAACAACGTGTCTTGCTGTGTGTGCGCATGGGTATAAATCCAAACACACAGTGACACATACACAGAGCAGCAGAGGTGGGGGAAGAGTCAAATCTGTTTACATGTTTGTTTCTCTGTCTGCCTTTAGTTCAATGGCACCATTGATCGGCGGATGGGCTGCTTGAAGTGATGATGCTATGCGTCAGAGGCAGCCGATGTGATGTGCCATCCTTTTGTCACGTCGCCCTTCTCTAATCCCAGCCAGCAGGCCTTGCCTTTATGTGACTGCTGTTATGCCTGCGGTCTCCCACAGCACTGGGACTGTGTGCCCTGTGTGTGTGTGCATTTATGCAAGAGTTTGTGTGCACATGTGCGTTGTTGCCTTGACAAATCTATTCAAACCCCGGCCTCCCTGCCTCCATTGGTGGTGATGGTGGAGGTGAAGGGGGAGGGAGGAGGGCCCTTTGAAAGACTCCCCTCCTTCCCCTCTATCCAGCCGCCTTCAGCCCACTGCTCCACAGCCCAGCTGACATCTTCCTTGAGACAGACTGAATGAATTAAAGGAGATACAATGAGACACTTGATGTAGCAGTCAAGGAGCCCCACTGCTTCTGTGCTGCTCTACACCACTCTGCCCTAAAGCCCAGGCTCAGAGGAGAGCACATCTAGGGCAAAGCAAAGGATCTAAAAATACACAATATGCCACTGTTTACCAAGATGACTTGTCATCTTCCCTCAACACTAAACCCCCCATCCTCCTCCCCGCCATTCCCCCACATCTCTCTGCCGATCTTTCTTCAACCTCTTTGGCTCCTCTTATGCTATACCCCTTCCCACTGCTAGAACTTTTGATTGACAGGGCTGAAGAAATTAAATATATTGGAAGAGAGTGAAATGGCATTTCCACTATTTAAGTGGTGGATTCAGTTTATACTTGAGTTGATTTTTATTTATTTTGATTGGATAGGAATGGATCACACTTTTTCCAACTGAATTTTATTTACTTACTTGTTGATATTTGTGTACATGGGACAGATGTTTCATCATGATCATCCCTTACAATGAGTTATTATGTTTCTTTATAAGCTTATATTAGGTCACTGTGGGACAAAAGATGTAGTACGTGTCAAGCAGGCAGTAACAGACAGATTTGCTTTGACATACTGCAGCTGCAGTTACTTATGTAGACAAATAGCAACAGCTAAGAGGAGTTCAATTAGGCGTCAAGTATATAATATCTTTACATATTCATACTGTAAAATATCAACCTATCTGGGAGCTGTGTGTGTTTTGTTACTTGGAGGATGATAGCAGATTACAATTTTCATGTGACCCTGTCTATCCAGTCTCTCCTCTTTCAAGGCCTTGGGAGTCAGGGTCGCTGAGGGCAAAACTGCAAAAGCATGTGTGTTTGTGTGTGTATTTGAGTCTGAAGGGTTCACAACGCCACACATCTTTGTGGAAGACCCCCCTCAATGCAATCGCTGACCCACACGCACAGGCACACACGCACACACAAGCATGCACAACACTGTAATGACTGTCAGGAGGCCAGGGTGAAAGTAAACAAGGGCAGATAAGCAGTGATTCAGAAGGACGCCAGCTGCACATTCTAATCTCTTTACATTTTCTCTTTCTTCTATTGAACTTTTATCTTATCTGGGGAACGTCTTCTCCAAGCATTCCTTCTCAGCCTCCCTCTGTCCCTCTCTCCCTTTTCCCTTGTTTTTTTGTACTAACCTTACAAGCCTCGGCATACCAATCCGCACTGCACGGTCAAAAGGGAAAACACACTTTGATATGTTGTCATCTGCTGACCCAGAGAATGAAAACGAAAAATGGAAAGCATGGAAAAAGTATGTTTTGTAGCACAGCATTGATGCCGTTCATTAATTGTTTAACCGTTATATGTTTTCGAAATAACCTAGTAGGTAGAAAGAGAGAGTGCCACACAGACGGGAAGATGAAGACAGCAAAAAACAGATAAAGAGGTCTTCTCCCCTCTCTGACAGTAGAGTTGTCAACCACAGGGGGTTTGAGAGGACTAGGGGTGTTTGCAGGGGGTTATGGGTCAGCAAGCTGGGCAGACACCCTCCCCCAGGGCACCCACTGATCTACCATGGTAGAAGGCCTCAGCTCTTCACCACAAACAAACGCCAAGCTGTCTGAGCAACATGTCACAGAGCTTTTAATTGCTTGTTCCTGTCTCTCTCTCTGTCTCCCCCCCCCCACCTCGCTCAGCCTTACACACACCTCTGTCTCGCTTACTGTCTCTCCCCTTGTCCTCCGCACCTGTCCCCCTTCTCTTTGTCACCCTTGCCTCCCTATTTTTGCTCCCATCTCCCTTTCTTTCTCCATCTCTTTCAATTTCAGATAAACTTGCTACATTTCCATAACATAAGAAAAACAATACTTTTGAAGTATCAAGATGAAAGACATGCATTTTTACATCAAATTCTTTCCCTTATTATATTTCCATCTTTGAGCATATATTTCCTTGTGTTTGTGGGAGTAAAAGTGAGGATGCTGGTTGCCATAAATTCATTTTCCATACACAGGTCCTCCACATGCCTTAACTAGCTTATGTGGAAGTCTTTTGTAGAAGCAGCATAGAGAATCTATCCTCAGAGTTTTCAAATGTCAACCTCTTTTTTGTCCTCTCCCTACAGCACTGTTGTAACTGGGTGTCGAGTCCAGAGCCCCTGGACACACCACTGGATCCCATGCTGCCAGACTGCCCCCGAGTCTCTGCAGGTATCTAACACAACTGTGTATAAACACACTTTACAGTACAAACAGTAATAGCATTATAACTCAGTATCTACTTACTGCATAATCGCTTTCAGGTTCCAAATACAATGACTGTTCAAGGAATTTGACTTGATTAATTTCAAGACAGTTCAAAACTGTACTGGCACACTAGTAGTAGGTCATAATGTAACAGATCTTCACATGCAGGAAATCGACACTATGTCAATGTTAGCTAAGGCAAGTGTTTATTCTATAGTCAAAGGTGAAAATTCAGGGAGTACTGAGAAACTGGCACTACCAGGGTCACCACTAGTAATGAAGTAATGGTTGAAATAGTGGGTTAAGTATGAGTTTTGATTTGTGATTTTATAGTCATAGATAATAGTAATTCAGTGTTTGTTAATCAACCACTACAGGTCCTTTAAATGTAGCTTTAAATTATTTCTCTTCTGGAGGACAAAGCTATGAAAATCAAGTTTAGGTTGTTTTATTCAACACTATGTTGTTGGGTAGATTGGAGGTCTTAGTCGGGCTGATTGAGAAGGATCATTGTCAGAGAAACTGAGAAACTGAAGCAGTGGCAGATTATCTTAAAACACAAATACTCACAGAAACAGAGTCTGTCTCACGCACGCTGCAGAATTGTGCTGTTTGATTTTGTTTCTATTTTCGTCTTCTTTGTCGCGCCCTCTTTCTTTTTCATCATCTACTCTGTCTCCTATATTCATTAATCCTCTCCTGTGGTGTTTGGCTTCCTGTCCCTGTGCCCTCTCTGTGGTTTACTGGCCTTGATGATGTCACGGCCATCATGAGAATGTGTCCTTAATGTAGGATTAGGGATGAAAGCTGTAATCCTCAACATGACCGTTGATAAGAGATGATGATTGCAGTGTTGTTTGAAGAGTGACACACATGCAGGCATGCACGCACAAGCACACGCACACGCACAGAGAAACAAAAAGAAAGTCGGGCCCTAAACAGGAAATAATATATCTGCTATGAGTATTAAATGCACCTGCTTTTACTTTATGTGTATGATTAAGCATCTATTTTACTTACACACTCATACCCACATCTCATCACTCATTTCCATCATCACTCTGGAGGTCCTGCTTTGTTATTTCATTCTCTTCAAAGCCCCTCAGTGACATCATGGTGAATGTATAGGTCATCTTACACATGCTCCACATGTCAGTGAATACATTTTTAACACTGCTATCTCATCTTGGCCACTAAAACACCGTGTTCCACATGGAGCTGCGTGGGTGGGTGGCCTTAACATCTACCAGTGAATCAGCTCCTTGAAATGTCATCTAGCCTTCAATTCAAAACCCATACTGTATTTCATGTCCAAATGTCAGGTTTTTACCTTGATGTTTTATGTCTCTTCTCAGTGACTGCCATTGGTCAAAAGATAGCAACGTTTGAGCCAAGATATTGAGGTCTACTTTTTTGAAACTGTTGGCATGCCTGACATTGTCCTAACACAGACCTGTTTGACACAGCATCCATCTGTATGTATGCACTATTGACTTGTGCTCTATTGACTTTTGCTACTTTAACCAAGCTGAATAGATCTGAGTCCCTGGCCTGTTAACAGAGCTGCCAACTCTGCTTGTCTCTGGTCTTTTGGTGGCAGCTTCTGATGTCAAAGGTTGTCTTAGTCGTCTTTGTGTCCTTGGCAGCCTGGCAGGTTCACAGGCAGCAGCCATTGTGATGAGAGTCACAGCAGAGCAACAGAGGTGATGAGGTTGAGAGAAGGTTGAGGGAAGACTGTCAGGGCATCATGGCCTAGCACTTCAATCAACACGCATACAGCTCCCAACAGTCACCTCTATCATGCTACCCTGACTGCTGTTGTCTGGGTTGCTATGGTAAGAGTATGCATGTAGGTGGGGGTAATCAGGGTTGACCATAAAGTGTCTCAGCAACACAGAACAACCGGTGAATCCTTCTTGTCATGCACGCAAACACACACACACGCACACACACGTGCACATATGCAGACCAACACACATTTCACAAGCGTGGGCAAACCACCACTTCTTGTAGGTAGAGCAAGACTGAGCCAGGCCCGGGGCGCGACCTGGCGGCTCGCTGTACAGGAGATTGGGCAAATGTGATCAGACACACACCACATACACACACACACACACTAAGATGTCTGAAGGCTAACAAAGTATTGGATGTGTGCTTAAATATGGGCACTGGGACTGGTCAGGCAGCATGATGGGAGAACAGGTTGAAGGACAAGTCTTTCCATTGCTCTTTTGTTGTCTCTTTCTGTCTCTTCTTACTCTTCTTCTGTTTCTGACTTTCTCTATACATCTCCCTTTCCCCTCCTCCGCTTGCAATGTGCCTCCCTGTGTGGTGCAGTGATGATATGATGATTGTGTTTTCCATGCTGGTAGACTCTTGGCAGAAGGAGGTAGGGAGAAGTGGAGGCAGAGCTTGTCTGTTATTCCTAATCATCTGTGAAGCAACGCCGGTATACCAGCATGGCACTCTGACGGGGCTGGAAGGACCCAGAGAGGGAGGGAGAGTAACGCGTAGCGGGGGTGTCCGCTAACATCTCCATTTCTTGTTTTAAATGCGATAAAACCTGGACCCATTCCCTTCGCTTTTGACTGGCTAGCTGCCCTCCCTTTCATTTTTTTTTTATTTTTTTGTCTTAATCTTTCTTCTTTTCACTCCATTCTTTTTTTTCCATCTTGCAAAAGGAATTTGTTCCACCAAGAAGGTCATTGCTCTGGCGTTTGGCAGTGGCCTGGCACACTAGCAGAATTTTATCAGTTAGGAGCACGCCGAACACAGGCTCAATATGCAGATAAAGTGGAACCAATCTCCTTCTGGAAAAGCTCCCTTTGTGTGTGTGTGTGTGT